ATATATATATATAGAGTATGTAATTAAATTGAAGTATTTGGTTTGCACATTTATTACGCATGTTTGGAGTTAGCAATTTTTTAATATTTCAAAAATTAGAATATCAAAACGAATGAGAAAGATATTCAAAAATTTTTTATATTAGTAGGATATATTTTGCATAACGTCAAGTTTTAGAAACTTTTTTTGAAATCCTGTTCTTCAGCACAAACTGGTAAAATAGTTATGCTCACACTCTCTAAATTATACTCAATATTTATTTTTCAATTTCTTATGCAGTTTTGCAATTTTTGAATATTTCGGTGTTTTTTTCATATTCTTGATTGCTTGAGCTTTGATGAAATGACCTTTTACTAGTAATAATAATTTACATATCCTGCATGATTATTCCTATGTTTTCGCTACTTTCTACCGTTTTATCTTTAAAATCATTATAACGGTAAGTCAACCAGTCATGGAATGCTCAATTCGCCATTTCATATGTCTTCGTACGTCTTCGTGATGCTATTATATATTGGATTGCTGGTCATGCTACTTGTATCTTTCATTAATATATTGAGGAAAGTGTTAAATTTAAGTTCAGATATGTTTGTCGTCCGCATAGGTTGCTGTTGTTGACGGTGGCAAGTATTGGTAGAGCAGGTTGTTGTTTCTCTCATCAAGGAGCATATTGTAAACAAAGAAATAGTAAACATGCAATGGCATTATTACACAACCACTATGAATCCCTGTATCGGACAAATACGCCATCTGTGGGAGAGAGTATTTTATTGCCAGCCAAATTAATATTTCTTGCCTGCACTCTTTTAACCCGCAGACAATTGTTTAACAATCACTTCATAGTGATAGTAATATATCGATAGATCGGTCCACGCGGAAACAAAAGATTATAATATACTCTTGACCTTGAGTTACTCTATCTTTTTATCATGTTAGTTATTGCTAATGAGACAATTTGCATGAATTCCGAGAACTGTTATTCTTTCTTTTGATATCATTGTATAGACCGAATCAGTCATTTTGAATTATGATAGCCTTTTATCAGTAAGTTGCTAAAAATAAACCACTGGATATATTTGGTATTACGCTTAAGCGGTTTTATGCTAATTCACTGAGATAGTGATAGGTAAAATGAGGTCATAAGAGAAGGACAATTCTGTTCCAAAGGTTATGAATGAGTTTTCTGCAGGTTGAAGGTGTGGTAGAGACGGATGAAAAGGGAATGGAGAGGGGAGTTGGAATGATGGTTTTTTTGAATGAAGTATCAATAATGCTGTCATCTTGATTTCTCACAACTTGTTCATCGCTTCATTTTTCTAAATACCATGCAAATATCATTTGTTTAACTCTGCACGGATTGCTTTCAGACGCTACTTAGTAGACAGCTCACTTGTTGGTCAAAACATTTCACTTATGAGTTGATAATTGGCATCGCGTCGAAAATGGAATTTTATTTTAGGTTTTAATTGTATCGCACATGTTATTGTCATGATTTCGTTATATTTATAATTTTACTTTATACGTTATAATTGAAATGCCTAATTGTAGATATGATGTTAATCGAACAAAATATTCCTTTTTTTCTTCAGAAAATTAACAAAGAATTTCGAAGCATTTTATTTTTTTAACAGTGCTTTTTCCTTTCCATTCTGCACTCAAGTTCAGCTATAAAGCAGGCACTGCTGGTGGTTAGCCCAAATATGAGAGTTTCAACAATAAAAATAATGTTCTTGAACCAAACAAAGAAGCATTCAAAAGTGACTTGGTGGAAAACAAGCAATTTGCAAGCATAAGGCTTCTAAAAAACAAAGCTTTGGATTTTCTTCATCCATCCAAATGTTGAAGTCATTACCAACCACTAAATTCATCCCACTACTTTCTAGTCGTTAGCGACAACATTCTATTCAACAAATACAGTCGCAAACATACGATGTGGAAAGTGTAGCAGTCCTTAGTGATACAATTCTTATGCCTATTCGAGTCCGCAACAGAAGGTCATGACTGCTTCTGAATGATGACGGACGGGAAGTTTGGAGAGCGAGGCACGGCTCATTGGTCCCACGGTGACGACGGTGATGAAGACATTGCGATAGAGCCACCGTAGTAGTACAACTGCAGCCACTACCAATACCACTACCACTACTACTACTGCTAAACTGCCGCTGCGCTAGCTGCTACCTATAGGAAGGGATGGACAGAGGATAAGGTGGAAGGAAGGAAGGAAGGGAAGTGGAAGAAACAGTCGCTGGTTAAATTCGTCAAGCAGTCACTGCCGCCACTACTATCAACTTAACGGTGTCTACCGGTGGTGTACGCTTGTTGCTTGCCATACCCTAGAATACACACACACACACCTTGAGTGCACCTCCAACTCCCTCCACTTCTCTCACTGTCTTTTTTAACACCTTATATTCCGTACCAACTCCTTTCTTCCTCTTCTTTCCTGAAGTTTACCATTTACACCCCTTCATCTCGCAATACATACACACATATATGTATTCATGTACACACACACATACGCTGTACATCTTGAAGGCAATCGCCTTCACTTTCAATGTCATTAGCTGGTGATATCGTCGTACCTCTTACTGCTAGAATGACTCTGATCCGACCCGGACTGCTCCAGTGGAACCCGGGGATCCACTTGATCTATCAGGTTCCTAGTCTTTATCACATCTCTTCAAAATAACTTCCTCTCTTTTCACTTCATTTTTTGTCCTTTCTCTTCCTCCTCCTCAACTCTTTCCCCTTCTCTCTCTCTCTCTCTCTCTACTCCAACACATCTTTCAATTGAATTTGATCGGAACTGCTGCAAAATAGAAATCGTTCACTGATAACATTACTCCTTGCAAAGCTCATCGAACATCTCCCATTCCATCCCGCACACTTTCTATTATTTCACTAACCTATCCTTTCCTTCTCATCCTAATTTCTTCTCATTCATTACCGGTTTTTTGATCATTCGGTCACTCAGTTCTGAGTTCCATTCCTTCATTCTCACTTCTCTACAGACAGCCAGCATTCTTTTCATTTTGATATCACAATGTGCCCTATTAGATAAGCCATCCTGCGTCATCCTCTTCCACCCCCATCGTTAAAATGAGAGTTACGGTATCAGTTTGGGAGACTAACGAAGCAGATGAACTGAATTGAAATTTCCACCATATAGAAGTTATATATCCCGGTATCCGGTATTCCGCTGTCCCCTTCTGCACAGTCTTAACTTACTGAATTCTTTGTTTCATTTATGCATATCTTTCTTCTTTCTTGTTATCACACGAAATAAGAGCAAAAAATGAATTAAAAGGCTGTGGAAGCACTTGAAAGATGCATCGCAAACGTTATTTGAGGAGAACGAGAGGGTGGTCACGTCAAGTGCGTTGTCAGTTAGCGAGACGTCACGCGGATAGATAATAAATGGCTTAGTCTTCTCTTTCTCTTCCGACGCTTTCTCTCACTTTCATCAATCATTGCTGCTGCTGTTGCTGCTGCTGCTGCTGCTGCTGCTGCTAGCATCGTCCTTATTATCATTGTCATCCCAAGATTTCATTCCCCTTATCAGCATTTATCACTTTGTCAATACCACTATCATCTGTTTCCTCACGCACCCATATAAATCGATATGATTAATGAAAAAAATAAATTTGTAAGTCTAAATGAACTGGCTTCCTTTTTTTGTTTTTTTATGCAACATTTTTTAAATCTTACGTTTTCCAGTTCCCTTTTAGGACTATTTTTTCGGAAGGATCCAGTTAGAATGAGTTTTTTTCCTCTTCTAAAATTAACACGCGCAGTTATGTCTTCTTCTTTCCCCATTTCAAAATTGAATTTCTGGTCGCACCGTCATTCCACCATTGAATGGAGCAAACGAACGATTCGACGGACATTCTGACATCAACATTCAGTCAACCGAGGAATCGAATCATTTTTCCCTTTTTTAATCCATTCCTGAGAATTTTCCTTTATCACATCTTTTTCCAGAACCCTCGAAAGTATTTTTAAAGCCTATCGTGGCGATACTAATTTCCTTTTTCTCCTCCTTCTTCTTGCTTAGGTGACAGGAGTATCTTCCTTACTCATCGCATCCATAATCAAATTTATGCTTTGATTAACGGCGAAACGGTGATAGCGACAAGCCAAGTAAAATGTTGAATGAAGTGGGCATAATCTTTCTGAATTTATTTGTATAATCTCTTCTGTAGTCAGTGGTCTCCAGTGGTTTCTCTCAGAAAGGCTCACATTCTGCCATTTGTTGAAAAAAGAAAATGGATGTAAGCTTTCACCTCCTGTTCCCTCCACTTTAATACTTCACAAATGATTGTAGTGGCGCAGCGCGAAATACCATATCATCTGTAAAGGAATGCATCGTTCTGTGTTGTCGAAAATTGAACGTTGTAAATATCAATGGCCTTTTTTCCCTTCGTCTACGTTCCGTATCATCGATTTATATCAATACAAATAGCGTTATTGCATCATTTGCTATGATGTTTAGTGGGTACGAAGAAGCTTTTTGTTTTATTTTGTTTTTCGAATCGAGTAATCCCGGAAGTTGCGAGACGTCTTCACGTCCATACTCATTAGGTCCAATTTGAAGAAAGGAAGTGGTAGCATTTAGCTAGGATCTAGACACAGTAACACTTCCAGGGAAGAAGCATTAATGTTGTTCAGACAATGCTTTGATCCTTTCGGGTACAACTGATAAGTGTCTCCATCGTTGAGCATGTTTCGATGAGCTTAAGAAGAGCGTGAAACAGTATAATTGCCAAAAGATAGACTGTAAAATGACCAACAACACCTTTCCTTGATTCTGTGCTGCCATTAACGGTTGTAGAAGGAGGTAACACTGGGATACGATATTGAAAGCATTTCTGATCAAGAATTAAGATATACTGCAGTTACAAGTAGTAAGTGTACTGTGCGATGTTATATTGCTTATAATAAATGTTGTCATGAAATAGAGCGGGTTAAAGTTAATTGAAGTAAATAGAATCCTTAAGATTCTGTAGAGTCGTTCCGGTAGTGAATGAAAAAATTTTCTATCAAATACATATTTAATTTCATATAGTTAATAGACATTATGTGTGTTTGGTATATAAATGTTTGTTTGAAGCCAAACAAAATTGGCATTTAACATTAAAACATGCTTGGAATCTGAGGTGTCATTTCAGAATGTGAGCAGAATTGAGGAATTTTGCTCAGGCTTAAAATCGAATCTTCATTTCCCATTAACGCCGCCACATTTGCAAATGCTAATTTTGTCTATAACTAATGTTTTGCCGTAGAAAATATTTGACAGCATAAGCTAAACGCCTACATATTTTTTCCAATACTGAATTGTCAGATGAAACAGTGGCTCACTGTTCGCATTGCGTGCAATCCGAGATGTTACATCGAGTGTTACATGCAATTTCTAACTCTTTGTTGTTCAAAAACTCCCATCAAATAGTGGTCTTGAGAAATTTCCAGTGTGTGCAAGAATGTACGCAAAATAGTATATGCATTGTGTGTGCAGAAAGCACGCGAAGTAGCAATTAGACGGGTGCAAATTGAATAAAACGATATTGAGAAGGATGGGAAGAGATAAAAGTGTGTTGTTCAGCGGGCTCCGGAATGTCGCCAATAGCTGTTGGACACTGGAAATTAGAAAAATTTATAATGGTAATTATTGGAATTGCACAGCCCAATTGCTACCTTTCTAAGAGATGAGGTGGAAGCTAAGGATTACGGACTGCTGCTGTCGTCTTCAGAAGTAATCACCTCAGAGAAGGAGGCAATGCTGAAATTCGCATATTCGCCACTGTTACCGTAGTAGATCCGATGCTTCCAATGAAATTGCTGCTTGTGTTGCTGCTGTTGCTCGAGTATGGCACATGCCCATTTGTGGATTTCCTATCCCTTTTCTTCGATTCCGTGCTCCCTCCGATTACGGTTCCTTTTCTCATCCTTCCTCCTTCGCACAACCAAATTCCTCTTTTTCCCTTTTTTCCTACTTCAGAATTTTTGTTCTAATCGAGCTCTCCTTTCGAATGAACTCTTGTTAACAGTTGTGATAAGGTGATAAGGGACATCTTATGATAATATATCGTTTGACCGTAGTAATAAGGCTTTGACTGTGTTGAATGAAAATTTTCTTTGTGTTCCAAATGGTGTGCTGTTACTTTAAGCTATTCAGATATTGATGTCACTGTCACTGTCACTGTCATACGACATGCAGTGCAGTACTGAAATCATTATTCAGCGTCATTTTAGATCAAGTCCAATGAATCTCACACCAATTGGTATCTCTCAGACACGAGATTAGAATCATTCACTCCGTGACAAGCGGTGCTTTAGGTAGGTTGAATAATCTGAAGGCAGTGTTTTAGGTAGGTTGAATAATAAATTTATAAATAGACAAGTTAACGACTCAGCGTGTTGCTTTCCTCATCGCATAACAGATAATGGATTTTATTTTTTTCGAGGAATCGCCGAAATGGCGTCGGCGAAAAAACGAGTGGAAATGGCGATGGCATCGAAAGCGAAACTGCAGACGACAGCAATGACGAATACTCCGCATGTACAGATTAACACTCATGTTGACGATCCACAGAAGTCCCTGGAGGAGCTCTTTACGGAGGGCATGCGGACACACGGCAAGCATTTTGAACGCAAGAAGGTATTCTCTCTTCTATTATCCTGCACAACTGACATCATTTTGACCATTGCGAAATATGACAAGCAGTGCTTCACTAAGATGCAATGATTCATTGTAGGGAAGATTGTCTCTTAAAAGTCTTGAAGGAATAAAGAAAAAGAAAATACTTTTCTGTCATGGGGCAAAATGTGTTACATGTTGGCAATCCGGAAGAGATGGATGGTTGTTGATGTTGAAAAGTTTCAACTAATAATGATTGTTATTATCTTTATTATTCCAGCCGAGTGTACCGGCGTCATTTAATCAGCGACCGGTGTCGTCACTGAAACCACATATTTCTTCCGCAGAAGGATCAAGTGATGATGGGCTCGGCTCCAGTGGTCGACAAACTCTAAGTCCAAGTTCAGTCTCATCCACACAGCTCAATACATCTTATCAAGGACCTTATCATCCCAGGCAAAGTTCTGCACCTGCTCTAATCAATTATGAAGACAACATTGAACATCACTCCAGGTATTACCTTTTTCTCCTTTTTATCACATAATAGAATATTTTAAAGTCCAGATTTGATTACTGGAAAAGGAATTTTTATCAGCATTAATTTTTTTCGTCCTGGATATTTGAACGAAGTTGGCAAGTGGTACAAGCATTCCTTAATTTTACTTGCAAGGTACAGTCGTTTGACTTCTGGTGTAACGCATGCGCCTTCCAAATCCTTAAGTGTCATGGCGGTATCTAATGTTGGTGAACAATACCAAGTTGCATCTCATCGTGCTGCGAAAAGCTGTGACCTGGATTGCGAGCCTAGCAAACATTTCGAACAAAATTACACACCGCAAGGACAACCTTACTTTGTTGAGTATGTTCTCCTATATGTTCATTTCAAATTTCATGAAAAATAAAAACGAAAATTTCACTTTCCTTCAAGTTTTAAAAACAAAAGAACAGTGCAATGGACTGAAGAATGGATCTGACTCTGAATATCTATTTAAATAATAGTTACTGCTGCTTGACGTTGAATATCGTCTCTTATCTGACTCAATAGCTGTCGTTTTTTAATAATATGTAATCACAAAATCCTTCACATTTTTTTCTCAAACACTCCATTGATTTGTATCAATCACATTAATAACTGAAATTTATCAATGTTTAGATAAGGACTACTTAAATCGGATGAAAATTTTTGAGAACTGTATCATTTGCTGTTTCCTAAATAATAATGCTAATTCTTACTTCAATATGCTGGATAATGAATTCCGCAATTCCAAAAAATTTATTTTTTTATATGGTATAAATATGTGACAGAAAAGCCATTGATGTAAAAATAATAACGTGAAAGTGAAATAGGAAATATTTATGCTCCAAAGCATGATAAATTTGAACATTCACATAAATTAGTCCAACTTGTTGACTGCTCTTTAAATTAACATTAAACAGTTTTGACTATACATGCTTCGAAAAATACCAATTCTAAAAGTTAGAAATGATACTTTTCATTTATTTACGAAACAGTAACTGGTATATGTTAGAATAATAATAACGGTAATATAAATAAGGCTGAATATTTGGTAGAAAAAATTAAGGATAAATTAGTAAAGAGTAAGATTAATAAAGATTCTTGTTTATTCTAAGAAAGATGTGTTTCATATAGCAAATCTGTTACTGTCAGAAACGAACCACAATTTCGTCATAAATTAGGAGAGAAAGATGAGAGATAGGCATTTTTACATGAAACTTGTGCTAAGGTCAAAGCTGAGGTTTAGTGAAATGGAGATTTGGTCATTTTATTTACAAATCAAAATGAAACAATACGAACAAAAGCTCAATTCATGGCATAAAGTTTGTAGATGCATGTGATCGTTGACAAGATGTGAAGGAGTTGAGAGAACGGGAAAAGAAAAATTGTAAATTATTATTATCCATTTTATAAAGATGCCAAACTGTTTTATTGTAAGGGCAAGCGAAAAAGAAACTTTTTCATGGCAGTTTCAATATTTTTCAATACTGCCAGTTTTACTTCAGTAATGCAGCAGAAGTTACTTACTGGAATGAACCACGCGCTAAAAGTCAGTCGCTGGATCCAATGACTTTGGTAACCAATGAAAGTTCGATGATTGAACGACAACAGCAGCAGCAGCAACAACAACAACAATCTATTTTACAATCTACGACGCCTATGTCGCAGCCTGTACGTCATTTTCTCCTCTCTTAAGTAATAAAATATCGATTACTTAATACTCGAATGATAAATAATTAAGTAACTTTTGCTTGATATTACCAGAAATAACAGAAATTTAATGTCAAATCGACAAAACAATGAAAATTCCTAAAGAACAATTACCTTATTATGATTTTCCTAAAGAACAATTACCTTATTATGATTTATGTGTAATATTGCTTTTGCAGGAACCAGACGATGGTTTAGGACCATTGCCGGATGGATGGGCAAAACGTTACGATCAGAATGGTGAAGTTTACTTCGTAGATCATAACAGCCGTGAAACAACCTGGTACGATCCCAGAATACGTATGTTTTGCTTTACCAAGTCGTCGCAAAGTTAATATTACCTTAATATCACCTCACCTACAGACCTGCAGTCTGGTCATGGGAATCATGGTTTAGTTCATTTAGCACCCCGTTCTCTTTGAAAAGAACTTAAATTGGAAACGAAATACAATTATGACTAGAAAGGAAGAAAGCACATATTACAGCACCGCAATTGCAAGAAGAACACATATGGCAAAGGCATGGATGTACAAGACAGAATACGGGCCAAGTTAGGAGGAATGTTTATGAAGTGCGACAGGTGAATCTTTCATCTTCAACAAGAATTTGAAATATTCTACGTATAAGAGACGTATAAGAGAGATTGGAAAAAGAAGATTACCTGATAATTGATCTCTGTAATCTTTTGAATGAGTAGAACAGGTTCCTGGATAAACGTTAGGCCTAGACCAGATTTTTTGACGTGGGTACCAATCAAGATGGAATGGTCTTTCTAAATGTGGATAACATTCCTTTGATGTTATTATACTGATCGTTTATCACAGGATGATTCATCAATTCGAAGGCAACAGTTACAGATGGAACGGCGCGGTATGCAAGAACGTCAGCAACAGCTTTACAGACAGGTAACTTGCCTGTGTTTGATAGTTTCACTTTCTGCTCAACAGTGGAAGAGAAGAAAAAAGGAAAGTGTTTCTTACGGGAAATATGATTGAAGGCGTAGTATGGGAAGTGTCCCTTACGGAAGTTTCTTTATTTATTTATTACTCTCTATCTTCTTACCAGTTTAAATAATTACATATTAATGAAAGTTTTATAGGGCTGGATTGGACCACTGTGGCAGACCACTCAGCAGCAGCAAACTCCAGTGCCCTCCATAGTGCAGCAGCAATCTGAAATTCCTGCGGTACGGAAAAATTCAGAATTCAATATTTAATATTAATTTGGATAGTTTGAATAGTTTTTCTTTCGGAATAGAAAAAAAAATTTTCGGAATAGAGTTATTACATTTTCGAAAGCAGGAATCCGAATTATACTGAAGCTGCTAACATGAAATTTTTTTACGCTGAATCGTTAACATCAACTTTTTGTAAAGTTAAAGGTCAAGCACTATCATTATCACTAATATATTTCCTTTCCTTTTGATTCGAAATTTCCTATCAATGCTATAGCCAAAGATTTTCTCTACTTCAGGTGGCTCCCTTTCAATATCCTCGCATATTCTTTAAATCTGTTCTCTTCTCCAAGAAAAGTTTGAAAAACTAGAGATACGAGTTTCAGGTTTCTGGCTATAACGAATATTACATGTCTGCTCAAACAGTTGGCAATGACTTTCTCGGAAGAAGTCCATACTATGCTCATAATGTATGATTTTCTTATTATTTTTAATGTCTTCCAATGAACGGAATCTAACGTAAGTTGTTAAAATGATTACTAAATCAAACGAACCATGTATAATATAAAGTAACGCTGATAACTGATGATGCACCACATTCAGTAGTCCATCATTTCTCAGTTGAAAATTGGGAAAAGAAGTTCAGTGAGGATTTAAATAATACTATGATGAATGACTCATTTGTTTGTATTTTTGATGCTAAAAAAATAGCAGATGACTACTATCAATTTATTTGTACAATCGATGCGCCTCATCATCTTATTGATCGATGAGAGGATAACTGCTCAGAATTCCAGTTGTTTTACGATTGACTTTTCAATCCACCTCCACTGATTAGACCACTGTCATCTCTAAAAATGCGGATGTAATGAAAATGACCACAGAGAAAGACACAGGGAAAAAGAGAGAGTAAACAAGTAATAATTAAAGGAAAATCATTCAGTTACAGAGGAATGTATCCAATGACTCAGCTGTAGACAATACGATGGAAATCGATTATGTAAGCGTAGGTACCGTAAGTATGGTTCCGTTACAAAGTGCTCATGAAATCGACCCGAATCTTGTGAGAGTAAGTGCAGTATTTAAAAAAAAATTGGGAAGTACCAGTTTCAGAAAAAAATTTTTTCTTTATTCCATTCTGCTCCTGTAGTGCGTTCGTTTTCATTTTTGACGTATGAGCAGGTCAATTTTCAGAATAAAAATATATTTTTTGGTCTGTCTTTCTCTCGTCACTGATATCGTTTAGTAGATTATCCTTTGATAAGGGGTGAGTAGACTGACGAATTCCAATACATTTCGGTGTAACTTTCGAAAGAACTAAAAAGTTTTTGCTTTCTTAGTCGAACAGGAATAATTAGCACATGATATAAAAAATGAACCAAGTTACATTAATTTCAGGAGTTAAATGCGCAAGATTTGAATCCACGCGATTTCGATCAGTATCTTCAGTTAAACGATAATCGTTCATCAGCAACTGTTGCTAAACCGTACATGTGAAGTAAACAAAAATTCGTGTAGAAAGAAAAAAGAAATTAAACAACGGACAGCTGCGTCAGAAAATGAAATTTAATCCAATCTGTCAGTAGTTCACTTCGATGCTGTTAGTTATGTCTACAGATCCAGAACTTTAACATCAAAGATCAGCTTAACTACACATATAGCGCATCTGGCAGGTCATTTACATCAAGGCAGTGAAAGGTTTGCAAGCCTTAGTTCCATCTACACGATCGAGCGACTTCAATTCCCTCCTTCCTTTTAATCGACCCTTTCCTCTTAATATTATTGTGTCGTCTATCCATGTGACAGTCTGTCTCACCCTTTTCCTATAAATTACTGCTTTTTCATCTTACTGCCATTTTTGATGATTCCCAGCAGGTTGACGAATTCATCTTTTCTAATTATTTGGAAACATTTTTGATTGAAATTCTAATTCCATTTTTAATGATTTCATATATTTTTAACCGATGAAATACTGTTATTATTGAAAGATGTGAATTAGAATTGATGAAAAGTGTGTTTGTGTTGTTGTTGTGCATGTATGCTTGAATACCTGATGCTCAGTATGTGCTCAATTAAAGGCATTATAGATTTGATTTTTGCCGAACTTAATTGAGATAAGGTAGTAAGAATTCATACCAATTTCATTCAGCATTATCATGAGTTTAGTTTCTTTAAATTTCCTCAATGCACTGATGATGTCATGTGTTGTATCCGCTGCAAGATGCAACCCCGCACAAATATTTCCAGAGAGGTAATTCATGTGCCATTCATTCATCTTATCATTCCGCTTAATCCGTCTGTTAAGCCTTCGATGGACAATGCTGACTTTATTTGCTTCTTCAAAAACGACGAATGAATTTCTTAGATCTTAGCGCGGGTAACATTTGCTTAGCCACTAAGCAGAATTTGCAACTTTCACCTTTTCCGGTTTTGAAATAGGAAATTTTCGATGATGGCTGAGGGAAGGTTGAATGACAAAAACAGGAGTAAATCGTCTTATTGTGTTATTGCTATAGTTCATAAATTGCTTACTGAAAATGTATAGTGTGGAAAGTGAGATTTTCGAAAAAGGGAATAGTGATCTCTCTTAGAGGTAATTTAAGCGAACTCGACCTTATCCGGTAGTTAGATTCAGAAATGCATTTCCATCCATTCATTACCGATCTTGCTCTATTTATCCTCAGAAAAATGATTCTACCTTCTTCTTCTTTTAAATTTTCTCGAATTCTTCACAGCGAAGTGAAATAAACGAAGAATATCTTGCCGTTATTGCGAAGATGCTTGTTTAAGTAAAAGTCTTCATCAAACTCGAAAAAATTTCAATTCCTTGTTGAAATTTAACGATAAAATATACTATTTATTCTTTATCTCTTTCCCTTTCTCCAAGTACATATAGACTAATTGAACGTTGATGATAATGATAATGATTACGGTGATTACTGTGTTTATGACAGTGGCGGCAATCGCAATGATGATAATGACAGTAGAAATGGATGCAATCATGACTGTGAATGATAGTTATTGCAGTGGCAATGGCACTGGTGATCGTCACTGTTATGTTTTTCTTCAGTGCTCTGTATATGATGCCTATACTTCTCTTCATTACACTTAACGGTTTTGTCAACTATATGTCGTTATACATATATATATGTAACCAACATTGAATGCATGTGATAAAATTAATTCATATCTCGTGCACACTGATTCCATTATGTGTGACATATAAGGAATTTATAGAGTTTTAAAATTCTTAAATTGTAACATAGTACAATTTGTAGTATCCTAACTCGAACGGGACAAATTATTCAAATCCATCCTTCCGGAGATTCAGATTTGCCGCTTCAAATTACATCATTTGTTTCATCAAAGAACCATCCTTAGGACCATTTGCTATAACTCCTAACAATAGATGAGATGGATATGATGTACATCGATTTCTACACCTGAACAGGCAATATGGATCAATGACCAGTTATTACAATACAACAATGCAGCATTGTTTCTTTTTTTCACAAAAATTCTCAACAAATATTTACATTTCGGTCGGGAACTCTTTTAAATTCCTCAAACAATTCTAAAAGTCAGCGGAACTTTTATTTGCCATGATGCAAGAGATATTTTTGCTTGCCATGATACAAGGGACTGATTTTCCTGATTTTCATGAATTTATCGTTAGCCATTATTCTGCCAAACTATCCTAACTGATCTATTACCTTTCCTTTGAGAGAAAGTGAAAAGAATAACTTCGAAAACCGATCAAATTTGATAGGATGTGATCAGTTTTCGGTGACCAAGATAACATAGCTTCAAAGTCACTAAAAAACTGCCACAGTCTAAAACTCAAGCACTAAAATTTTTTCAAACTAAAGGGAATGGTGAAACATGTAAACCACTTTTTTCAACTGATAAAAAACCAAACGCACAAAACAATGAATCAAGAAAACAAATGATTGAATTAAACAACGACTGTAAATCTGAAGAAAAAATTGCACCATATTTATTAGACAAATCCAGCAGATTTGCGGTGGAGCATACCTGCTACCAATAATCACTTGGTATCAGGAGCTGATATCATCAATTTTCACTCTGTTCACTGTTTCTTCATTAAGATCAGTTTCTGGGATTCTTTTTCATGACACGCAATATATACTACACTGGAAATCAAACAAGCTAGTAGATGTTAACCTTTACCTTAATGGATTCTTTCCGGAATCTATAACCAATTATTCTGGCAATTCAGCGATTATGCTACAGTGCAGTAACTTGCTCATCGTACTGACTTTCGTCATCATCGTAATGAATTTCACTATTCTGGCTACTATTCGCATCGTCAGCGACGGCACTGTTAAAGCAATCATCAAAATCATGATAACCAGATTCTTCGCTAATTGTGTCCGTTTCTCGTTCTGGTCGTTTTTCTGCGCTCGGTAACCTTCGTATTTCCCATGATCGATTTTCTGAATCGGTGGATTGCACCCCATCATCTGAACTAACACTGGATGGACCAGACTCTAAGCTTGAACTAAAGTCGCTGGCCAGTAATCCGTGTCGCTGCTCTTCCTGCTCTTCGCTCTTACCACACAATCTCCTCGTTAAGTGCTGTTTTCCACCATCACCGCCTATAAAATACGAATAGTTTTCAAATGTTGTTTTAAATATTGCACAACAATGAAATGGAAATTTTTCACCAGAAACTTGAAAAGTTCATCCTTTTATCTTCTTCTCACAATGCTGAACTTGGTATTGAATCGGAGAGATCAAATAAAGCATACCGAAGGAAAGCGGCAGCAACAATGCAACGGAATATCTGAGTCAAATACATCAATTTCTTAACTCGCTTTTTTAAATTTCATCTGCACTGAACTGTGCATGTCCCTTCTTCTTTTCAAAATAAGCTGAAAATAAACCCCGAAAAGAATCCTGTTGAGAGAGAGGAATTTCCGCTGTCTCATTACTTTCCAAACTATTCGTGCTACAAGCATCACCACTGATCGGCGATTCCTCGTAACACAATGAATTCGCATCCAAATATTCTTCCTAAAATTCCATTTTCCAAAAATACCGATAGCAGTAAAAAATGAAGACAAATCATATATTAAAAGAAAAGACATTAATCCAAAAGATATCAGTGATTTTAGAAGAGAGGAAAAAAATTTCCTCCCGAAGCAAGTTATAGCAAGCTATACTAAGGAACTCATTCAACATTTAGCAAAATCTAAGGAGCGGATTAATAGAGAGGTTTTGTGAAAAAAGTCAAAAACCTGTTGTTGTTCCTCGGGATATTCATTTTCCTCATCAATAGCAAATAACCTTGGAGCACTTTTTGAACGACCAACTGGAGGACGGAAATTGAGTGAACCCGTTTGTAATAACAGTTTCCTAAATTAAAAATCAATCTGAATGGGAAGAAGATATCCGCATATTCACTGAAATCATTGTTACTTAATATTATTTCCAAGGATAAGATACCTTTTAGGTCCTGCGGATGGTTGTCCAATAGTCAGGGCGTTGAGTCGAGCTTTTTGACGACACAGTTTCTCACGACGATACTCCTGAAATTCAATGTCAATTAAGCTGATGACAAAAAAGAATTCAAATCTTAATTTTTCAATCTGAGAGAAAAAGCAATTATTTTTTGATTTCATGGACGAAATGCATAGTAGAGATATCGCCAAAATTTTCAGATTCTCAGCACATACACGATTCACGATGCTACTAATACGATAATGCATGTATATCAGTAATGGTAAATCAAATTTTTGATCTTTTTTTTCACGTTTAGTGTTCATTATATTTCAGGTTGGGAAATGATGTAAGTTGAGATAGAAACATCAGCATTGCAAATATCATTGCACTAAAGATGGCAATAATTTTGATGTTGCTTTTTGATTGCAGACAGCAATTATTTTGGATAATAGCAACTGATAAGTAAACCAAAGAAAGGATTAATTGAAGTAATCCGATCGAAAGCATTACCTGAAGAGCAGCTCGAAGATAATGCTCGAGTGTCTGAGCTATTCTGTACGGATCTGATAGCTTTTTGCACAGTACTGCATGACATCTGAAATTTACGAATAAGTTATATATATATATATTAAATTGTGATTAATTTTAATTCAAGTTGCAATACATAATCTTCCACATACATATGTCAAAAAAATCCAATTTGATCATTCTTATCTCTTGATAGCAAATTTATTTCAGGCGATTCATTCCCAAACTGCACAATAAAGCATAATACCTCAGTTCCGGTTTCATCTTCTTCCCTTCATGCTTATAAACCCAACAAAATACCCGTGGCAAATTTGACGGCGCCAAACAATACGTTATGCGATGGGACCAATACTCCGTGACACCTTGTTGCTTTGTTTCTGCCTAAAAATGATCTTGTTAAATTTTTGGAGAAAAGTTGCTTAGAATCGCAAATGAAGCTGTTTTCTAATTTGCATTCAAGACGAGGCAAATTTACTTTCTTCCAGCTACCATCATAAATTCATTAATTACTCTCATTTAATCATCCAATGAAACAGTGGAATTTATTGAGGTTTTATGCATTAAGCTTGCTTTTATGTCCCCGTAGTTTCGAATCTAACTAACCTTAAGACCGGAACGTGTAACGGTGAGTTTCATGGGCAGTTCTGCGCGTTGTTTACTGCAATATGTATGCCAAATTAATAAAAGAGGCTTCTCCAAACATTCCTCACCTAAAACTATGTTTTCCACAACTTCATACAGATGATATATTTAGAGCAATACACAATTTGAGCATTCCGAAGTGCTATTATAATGTTTTATCATTGCTATATGCAATATGGATGTCAACTCTGCTTCAGTACGGGCGAAAAGTATAATAGAATGCTCACTTCACATATTTTTGAAATATTTCATAGTTATCCTTTTGCTGAATTTCATTTTTTTTCGTAAATGATTTCTTTTTTCAGTAAATAATAATGATGCTGTTGACGCTTTTTTTAATAAAATATTTTATATTATATTCATTATTCCTCTGAAAGAAAATGAAGTACCAATAAATTTCACTCTAACTATGAAAACTGTTTTTTTTTTGAAAAAAAATATTGCATTCAAGATGGCGAGAAATTTCGGTTATCAAATGCAACATATAAATGCATGCGTGCATATGCATGCATCTTATACATTGCCATATTACCTGTGTTCATTTGCACGTCATTTCCTGTAACGTTCAGTTGAAAGACGAATTCCATAATGTTTAATCAAAGAGGCGGAAGATGTGAAAAAATACCTTTAGCGATGACGGTCAATACATTACCAAGGTAAACAACGTGGTAATTGTCATCCGGCGGATTTATCGTATAATGTTTTCGTCGCCGTCGAAAGGGAAATGTCAAAAACTGCATTGCACTGGTCACCGCTTTGTCACTCACGTTATTACTGCTATTGCTAACACTTGCAATGTTGGTTAAAAATGATGACATGCAGAAGGAACTAAGCTGGAACAGTTTTCACAAGCTGAACTTAACTCTAAGAGACTGCAATAAATTTTTTGGACAATTCAGCGTGACTCCTACAAATATAAGATGACTAGTAACAAAGAGTGAACTGGTCATTTAAAACTTGACCTAATAATCAACAGATTAATGTTATCTGCGAGTTAAAACAATCCGCTATGTGGAGAGCATTCTTGAAGATTTCTTGATTTAGCTGATCTATCTCCTCAGATTCAAACTTATTAATCATTAAATTATGTTGCTTGCATCGACTTTCGACAGCTCTAATAGCTTTAGCATCAAAGTCCCACGAAATAAGCTTAAGCTATAATAGAAATCTAAGCTGAGCATGCAATTAAGTTCCAGTTTGCAGGAATTTCTTCTTCAATTATTTGTTCTAAACCTGAAGACATTGACGAAAATTAAGGAGAACGAGGGAAGTAAGTGTTACAAGCACGTTGAGGATATTCCTAACATCTTGGAACTTTGAGATTGATGACAGTTTGAGAATGACACGAATGGATCCATTCGGGCGCACATTTTCAAACTTCATGTTGGACAGCAAATGATAAGAGAAGATGGGACGACGAGCTGACAAACTAAAATTCACAACTTATGTAATGAAGGGAAGACAGAAAGAGAAATGAGGAGAAGTGAAAAGAATGGAACGGAGGAAGGAGGAAGAAGAAACTGGTCGAAAGTGAACAAGTCCTTTTAAATGTTGATTTAAATCGGGAGAAAAAGGGAAACTTCATTGTTAAAAAGCCGCCGGAAGTGAAATACAAATGTGTATACTTTCCGATTCATTTGAGGAATGGAAAGAAAATCTGAACTTTTTCACTCTCGAAGCACCCATAATCTCACTTTTCATACTTCTGTTACGTGAAATGAAGTGGTAATCAAAATTCCGGATTAAAAAAGCCGAATTTTCTTGCATTACGACTTAAACTACTCTCTATATTTTCATCCACCAACACCACTTTTCGCCTACAATTCCTCAAATTTATAGCTATGCAATAAAGCGAATGTGAGTTAAATGAAAGAAAAAAAGCATCTACCTGAGATAAAAGTTTCTATAACAAATTTTATGAATCCTGCAACTATGCTGCTACCAAGTGAAAGCACACTGGATGTCGATTCGATATATATATATAT